TCCATGATTTGCATTTACTAAAATTAATGCCAGAAAATGACGTTTAGATATTAGATAAAAATCTTATTTTGGAATAGAGCACAGGCAAGCCCCAACTTTATATTGATATAGTTGAAGCCTTTGATACATTACAACACAATGGTGTAATGATTTTGTTGGGGCTGGACTGTGCTGATACTTTAATTTTCGTTTAAAACACCAAAATTACGTGAATTTTCCTAATTTTGCTGGAAATAGGGGTATTTCCATAGAAAATAAATCATACTAAATGTAAACATATGTCTATAAATTCATAACTTTTTAACAGTTTAAGGATTGAACTTATAAATAAAATCTAAAAACAAGAACTTTTCATCAAATTATTTTTTGCCAAAATCTTGGGCAAAAATCCATGGTTAGTGAACCTAGCTCTTTGCTCGTATTAATTTGATTGGCCCCTTTTACGGTCCTTTAGAGCTAAAAATAGAAAAGCCTTAAGACACCTTCTTCTTCTGAACTAAATGATAGATGATCACCAAAAGTTGTCTGTAACATTCTTAGGTGGTCTTTTATCGAGTTTGCTCATATTGATTTGATTGGTCCCTTTAAGGGACCGCTAAAGCTAAAAATAGAAAAACCTTTTAACATCTACTTTTATTGAACTAAATGACGGATGATCACAAATTGATTGGCCCCAGAGCTAAAAATAGAAAAACCTTTTAACATCTTCTTCTACTGAACTAATTGATGAATGATCATAAAATTTTGTCTGTAGCATTCTTAAGTAGCCTTTTATCAATTTTGGTCATATTAATTTGATTGGCCCCTTGTAGGGGCCGCTAAAGCTAAAAATAGAACAAACCTTTAAACATCTTCTTCTGCTGAACTAAGTGACGGATGAATGATCCCAAACTTTGTCTGTAGCATTCTTAGATGGGTTTTTTTTTATCAAGTTTGCTCAAATTAATTTGATTGGTCCCTTTTAGGGGCTGCTAGAGCTGAATAAACATCTTCTTTTACTGAACTGATACAATGGATTATCACCAAAATTTTGTTTGAAGCTTTCTTAGATTTTTTTTGTTCAAGTTTGCTCAAATGAATGTAATTGGTCCCTTTTAGGGGCATTGGAAGCTAAAAATGGAAAAAAAATATCTTTAGATAGCTTTTCTAAATGAACTGTTTGAAATGCTAACTTGTTCTTTCTATTTATAACTATAGATTGTTTTTAAGTCTCATCCTTTAAAAACTTGTTAACATGAACCACAACAGCCACTTCATGTATTATTTCCATACAAGCAGACATATGATTATAGAGTCTACCGTGAGCACCATGTTAAAAGTGCTGCCTTTAAACCACTTTTCCCTGACCGCTGTAGGTTCGATCACCTAGCTAGCATACAGAAAGTTAGTTGTCCTACTCTGATGCCCACTCTATCTGAACATATTATAAGGCCTAAAAGGTTGTGGTAAGGGTAACCCTACCTTACCTACCAAAATCTTCTGACCCTAAAGACGTTTTTGTTGCTCTTGTTGTTGTTTTTTATGATTACTTGGTAAATGTTGGCGAGTTCATTGAATGGCAACCATATTTTTTTTTTTTTCAGTACGATTCGTTACCATTATAATCCGTATCATTTTACAAATAAAAATATAAATGTACCATGTACATAATATAATGATATCATAACTAAAATCTAATACTGGAAAACTAGTAAAAGGGTTGGACTTTTTTGTTGTGTAACAATCTGTTTGTAGTCATTGGCACCGTTGTTAAAACTATCATGATGTAAGGAACGAACAGTGCCGCAAATGACCTCCTCCTGAGCCGGAACGGCGGTCGGGTAGACTAGCTGGTAAAAAAAAATGTTGCAACTTGATCTGGTGTTGCTTGATGTGCACGGATGAAACATTTTGCAAGCAAGTTGAGAGGTGGATGCTATCATTAACATCACTGGGCACGCTTAGCGTCTTTCCTTGGCATAATGCTGCATAACCCTGTGTTGGTGGATATTAGAGTTGAAGGAACACTCCCAGACGATGGTGTCTCCTGTGTCTGGCTGGCATGTTTTGTGTGTTTAATTGCACAAATCTTGCACAACCCTCGCGATTCCACCGATTCTCCTTCTGGTCTTTCAAATTTCTCACTTCATTCACGACCGCCGATAATGCAGTCAGAGCAACAGATAAGCTTTAAAAGTGAATTGGGTATTACTCCATCATTTCCTTTGGAATTGGGTATTGGCTCCATTTAATTGGGTATTCTAAAACTCGATACCCTATGATTTCAAGATCAATTGGGTATTCAATTATGAAAATATGAATTTTATGGTTTCAATATCAATAAAATTTAAACTGTTTTAAAAAGAAAATAGGATTAACAATTTACTAGAACTTTTCACAATAATTATTGTTTTATTTTTATATAAAATGCTCATGTTATGTTTCACAATATTTTAACAAGTTCGTTTTCTGAGTGATTTTTGATTATTTACGATTGATTTGTTTCTTTTGCACGACGCCATATTGCTTTCAAAGCGTCTATTGATACAGGTGGGACCTACTTATTGACGGTCTCCGCAAAATCAACGGTCTCTGCCGGTCTGTAAAGACCGTCGACCTGAGTAGACAAATCGACGGTGTCGCGCTTTATTGATATACTTAGTCGGTCTTTGGAGACCGGGGACCGTCGAAGACCGGAGACCGTTGATTAGTGAGCATTGATTCGGGAATATTCGGATAGCATGCATATCGAAATAATTTGTCCAAAACTACGAGCGTACGATAGATTTATTTTGCGGTGATGAAAATGACAATACGCACGGGTTTTTAAGACAATTGCGTATTTTATTTTTTAATGGGTTTTGATACGCATTCTTAAAATATCAATTGCGTATTTTATAAAATTAATTGCGTAAATACGCAAATACGCACCTTATCTGTTGCTCTGAATGCAGATGTCTTTTTTTTCTTTTTTTCGCATAATTCAATAAGATTAATACAGATTTAATTCTACGAAATGTTAGCCTATTTCGTCTAGATCTTGATACACGTGATCATGACGTCACCGCGACCCTGGAATTCTAATTTAAAGAAAGACATACAAGTTATGCCCCTGGCATCACATCGGACAAGCACTGTCGATAACACGTACTCGTATTAATTAAATATCACATAAATAGTTATGCTCGTATTGTAGAAAATAATTCACTATCGCCGCATATGTCAAATTACATAAAAAATAACGATGATGACAAAACATTCCTTACGAACAAAGTCAGGCGTGAAGAGTGACAGCTTATTTGCATAAACACATTCAATATCATTATTATTCTCATGACTTGTTATTATATTATTTTATCTACAGTTTATTTTTCTTTATAGTTCTTTATCATCTCCGTCTCCGTGGATGTATTCTTCGCATTATGATAATAAAATTAGACAGGTGCAATAATTCAATAGCTAAACTTTTTTTGTTAAAAATCATGTTCATACACAGTCTTAAGTTAAACGAAACTAATTTGCTCTATTGACATGTCTTATAAATGTGTGACAGTGTGTTTTTTAGGACGAGCGATTTTTGTGGTTGATTATAATGTTGTATGTATCGCAAGCCACTCTAATATCTAAGAGTATCATGACATTATGAATGTTTAGGTATATTAAGCCTTCTTCTATTTAAACAAATTTGCAAACATCAAATAAGTTATTTCCTACCATATTGTATAACAACATTCTTCAGAAATCAACATGGAGAAAGGCTATTTGAGCCGCGTCACGACAAAACCAACATAGTGCGTTTGCGACCAGCATGGATCCAGACCAGCCTGCGCATCCGCGCAGGCTGATCGGGATCCATGCTGTTCGCTGTCAGTTTCTCTACGGTTAAAAGGTTTAAAAGCGAACAGCATGGATCCTGATCAGACTGCTGGTCTGGATCCATGCTGGTCGCAAACGCACTATGTTGGTTTTGTCGTGACGCGGCTCATTTTGTATTCTGTTGCGCGCTTTGTGCATTAATTTTTATTTTCTTATTTATTTTTTTTACTTAAAGTACCAGGTATCATTTTTCATATGTTTAAGATATTTCGTGAAATGACGATTGCAATAAAATTCATTATCTTTCAACAATATGAAAGTAACCTTACACCGAAACAGCGTTGCCATAGTGTTATAACGGGTAAATTTGATATAAAGTAACCCGTTACTTCACCAAGGGGATAATATATTCATCAATTCCATGAAAAGATATTGTTTGACTTTAGAGCTTTGTTAAAAAAGTCAGAATAACACCCTGTCTGACTGGCTGACTGGTTTACCAATCAAAAGCAGGCATCGTGCTAGTTGAAACCTATACAGGTTTTGGTAATATCAAGTTAGCGCTTGAAAACTATTTGCGCGGGGTTAAGCTCGTCTGTAACTATATTAACAGACGAATTTATTTCATTCCTTTTATATAAAATGCAACCAACAAACTCCCGACCTTTGCACCATGTGATCGTCCAATATATGCAGTTTTAATCATTCAGCCTCGTTTCTTTTTTCTAGTTTCGAGTCCTAAAATGCATATCTAATCCATATTGCATTTCATCAAGCCGCGTTTAATTTTGCAGTTCAAAAAGTCCATATCGTATTTAAATTGTACTCTTTCTAGCCTAATTTTATATTCAGAGTCCAAAAAGACCATATCAAATCCATATATGTATTGTAACAATACTTTTAATATGATAAAAAACAATGCTGATTCGGTATGGGACTTCTTTGATTCTATGAGTTTTCTCCATAAACAACAGTTTATACATGTTTTTACAAATGAGTGCCATTGTGTATTAATTGATAAGGATTTTTTTTATTTTAATGGCTATTATGCAATAGCCAAATACAATAATGTAAATTTTACACTGCAACGAAAGAAAATTCAGGATCTTTACAACACCCTCTCCCCACCCCCACCCCCCCCCCCCACACACAAACACACAATATACTAAAAAAGTGGAGATTAGAAAGTGTACGTCAGGTGAGCGAAGTAGTCTTAAATAAAGAGGTCTTGTAAAGGATATTTAAAATTGTTGCACCTTGCAGCTTTTTATTGCGTCCTGGAAACCATGTCGGTGTTCACACTTTTATTTTGTGCAATCGTTGGCGGATTTTTAGGTAATTAAAAAGTTGAAATATTTCTTTAAAATGTGTCGAAAATATTTTGAATTTCATAATTACTAATATTAAATAACTTATAATGTATGTGTAGCATGCCACAATATAAAAACTGTACAGAAACAAAAACAGAAAACCAAATTCTGTTTGGTGTGAAAAAGACGGTGAAAAAAGGAAAGTAATAAAGTGTAAAATTCCAAAGTTAAGTACGAAAATTAAATAAACACAAACTTTTTTTGGCTGTTTTTCTTTCAGCATTTTTACCATCGGCTTTTTTTGTCTCGAAATCTTTATTAATAACGATCTTTAAAATAATTGCTTTGTTGAAAAGAAAATGTTCAAATGAAGGTAAAATTGTAAATAAATTGAGCCGTGCCATGACAAAACCAACGTTATGTGTTTGCGACCAGCATGGATCCAGACCAGTCTGATCAGGATCCATGCTGTTCGCTTACAAACCCTATTACAAGTAGAGAAACTGAGAGCGAACAGCATGGATCCTGATCAGACTGCGCGGATGCGCAGGCTGGTCTGGACCCATGCTGGTCGCAAACCCATTATGTTGGTTTTTGTCATGACATGGCTCAATAAGTGTTTTATATTTTAAGCCGTGACGGTTAACGGAGGTGAATACTGTACGATTGACGTCACGTCTGTAACAACACGGACGTCATATTGCGAGCATGGATGTTGTGGTGACGCCTTTGATAATACCAGAGATTGTTGTGAGGATCCGTAAGTTAGATTCTCCAAATTAACATCTCTCTCGCCTGTAAAATAATAGGTCTATAAGATTTATTAGCAATAAGCAACATTTTAGATAAGTATATGAAAATGTTATTAATTACCTATAGTGTTCTTTTCTTTTCTTCTTTTCTTTCATTTTTTTCTTTCTTTTCTGTGCTTTCATTTACATCTACAAAACACAAAGCATTATCTTCAAGTTTTAAGTATCGATTGCCTCAGATTTATAACTAACTTACATTTTATTGTACATTTTATAGGGGCGCCAGCACATTTATATACGTAGGAGGGGGTGTTGGTGGATTTGTTAGCTTTGTTATCATGGTTGTTTGTATATGTTATTGTTGTAATCATTAGGTAAGTAAGATGTGCCTTGACTTAATTTGTTTGTTTTGTTTTGTTTTGTTTAAAGTAGTACTGACAGTGATAAAATCACATTGCGTGTATCCCGGTTTTCTTGCGACACATGACCTAATATGCCTAAATGCGTGATATTTTAAGCCCAAAACAAGCGTCTGAGTAGAACAACCGACGCTCTTTAAGACAGCTGCATAGCTAAAAAACTTTCGACAGTCCCTGACGGAATTCGACCCCCCTTGGTCACAGCCCCTCTGCTGGTTCCTATTCCACATCATCGCCACTGAGTTTCAGAAGGGGAAGTGTTTTTTTGTCGTATTTAATCAATGCTAGAGCAAGCATCTTTGTGCCAACAATGACCGACCATAAGTTAACGGGATATCTTCCTAATATATGAATATAAACCCCTATGCTCGATTCTAACCAACATGGACTAGTGGAAAGAAATGAGATACTTTGACTTATTGATCTCAAAAAGTGAGACTCGTCGGCATACTCATTTAACAAAACTGAGTGTTTCTGTCTTTTATTTTATCCTGTTTTTGAAACACTTCCAGTTTTAAAAGTTTATACTCAAACTTTAACATGTTTGTTCCTTGCTTTTACCTACATTTATTCCTTATTCTTTGATAGATAAATCGTAATTATACTTTATGGTACTTTAAATAATGAATTTAATCGACGGCATCTTCAATGGCATATTCAGCGTCCCGGTTTGTGGGGATTGAACTTCCACAGGCGATAAACAAGAAGTCGGCCACGGAAGCCGGTCCAGTGTAAACAATATTTTACAAGCGTTTTATTATAAGATAGTTAACATTAGATGATATTTGTTGTGATCTTGTGGTACATATCAAATGCAACATTGTTTGTCTTCTTCAGAAAATAGACTGTTATTGTGTGGTATAGAAGCATCAACATCGTGTTGACGGCAACATTATAAGAATCTCCTGTGATATACCGGATAGTATTGCGTTAAAAGACAAACATTATGGTTTTACTTGTGTGAAAGACAAACATTATGGTTTTACTTGTGTGAACAGTATATATTTATGATATTTATTTTCAAAAACTGTGTGTAACTTTTATAAATGTAAATAGAAAATTGTCTTTATTGTTTGAACTTAAGAGGCCATTTTTCAGGTCATCTTATAAAAATGTTTCAAATAAAAAAACCTTATAAATACTGCTAGTTTGTTGTTGACTTCTGAAGAAAGGAAAAAATGGGCATGTTGTGACAACCTTTTATACATAACTTGAACAAAATGGTGCATTTTGGTACTTTTCTTTGCATGTATTTTAGTGATTTTGTTTAACGCCCAAATTGTCGGGGATACGTCCATATCGAAGTATCAAGGCTTTAGTCGGAACTTACCCTTCTGAACGTCTTCACAGAGCGGAGTTATTACAAGGGGAGGGGGGGGGGGGGGGTAAATACGAAAGTGAAAGTTCCTGTCGCTATAGAACAATACATATTCAATCTGTAAAATGTATACGACCACAGGAGCTTGACATTCTACCAATACTTTAAAAATGTTAGCAAATGATAAGAAATTATTACGGCAAATATACCTCTCTATTTATTGTAAAGAGTGGGGTATGTTTTTGCTGTTATTTCTTAATCTTTCAATTATTGGAAGAATGTCAAGCTCCTGCGATATACGACTTGGCACAGCATGTTATCTTGAGCATTATGATATGGAAAGTTGGAAACCCTTTCATTTAGATTTATAAACGTTTTAGAGTTCACAATTAACTCTTAACCAGTAATTTTACCGATGCAACCAATGCAGGCAACGGTCAGCCAGTACATCCGTTTTATCTGATCTTGGTCTGCACTGTTCGCTATTCACTGAGTACATCTTTAGCATTTTTCCGTAAAAGATATACAATATACATGTACATGGTATTCTCGAGAATTAAAGATGAACAACTCTCTTTAAGACTTTTAGTGTGGTTAAGAGTGGGACGAATTAAATTTACATTGGAAACACCTCGGCGATCATTGAAAATAACCGAAAAGTTGCGATTGAATAAATTTCAAGCAGGTTTTCACACATTAAATATATAGCAATAAATTATAGCCAGACAATAAAGGTTTATGTTCTGTACAATTTGATAATCAAGAATGTGCCTACACATGCCTCTGATTAAATTTGAGATATTTTACGACCTGTCTAAAATCAGTTTCTACATTATTCATCTTTAATATACTTCCGTCCAAAATATAATTTTAGCTGGATTTTCAGGACGCCTGATAAATTGCTTAATCAAATATAACGGCCAAAGGGTATATCACTTAAAACTCTTGTAGCATGTTTTAAGTTGGAATTGTTTCCCTTTGATTATGAATATGAAATTTGTTGACGTACAACGTTTTTCATTTTAACTTGCCACCGAAACAGAGCCAGGCCAAATAAGGCTCTTAATATTATTAGCTGGTCAATTTTATTTTTCATCTTGATATCCCAAATCTATAAAGCATTCAACTACATGAAAATGTGTGTAAATATTGGAGTTACTTCCCTTTGACGAAAAAAATAAACACGTTAGAAACATTAATGTTCGAGTGTCTCAAAAACCAGACAGTCCAAAAAGCTTTGATATCCTGCCACCTGTTTTTGCTCAGATCATCACTATTATTCCTCTTATATTAATTTATGTAACTCCCTCCTTCCCAAACCCCGAGGGATAGCACTGAGAAAAATGGCCACTTTTACCCCCTCCTCTAAGCGCCACAATGGAGGGCCAGGGCCTACCTCCAACTCGTAAGGCATTTATCGGGATTATAACGATCTAACCGCACCGCAATGCGGGATTTCTTTTTCGAAAAATTTACAATCTACAAGTTCCCAGTGTGAAGTAAATGCGAATATTTACAATTAGTTATTACTTCCACTCCGGTGATAAAACTAGTACAACTTACAACTGCATTTTTTGCTATTTTTATTGCAGTGTTCAGATTTACTATTTTGCTTCCTAAACCTGATTGTCAGTTTTCTTTCTACTGGCGAAAAGTATTAGGGCGCAATCTTAATACTTATGTATCATGGTTAACGATATGACTCGCATGCCGCAGTGACAGACTAGATTGTAAAGGAATGAATCTTAACATAAGTGTAAAACAGATACTTAGATCATTTGAAACTAGACAAAACTTACAAAGAAATGACTGAAAGAAAAAATAAACACAAGTCAATTTTTTTTTTTGAGATCTGTTTTCACTTTTATTTTATTTCATCACAGAAATTGCCAATACTGGATTGCGATGTGTGTAAATATGACGAATTTTAAAGGACATAACTTTACAGTTTATAAAAACAGTTGTAAAAAGCTGTTAAATACATGTAACTTTAAACTTAACAATATATTTTAATAATGCTGTTACAATAAAGTTCACTTGAGATAGTTCGACCATGCTTGTTTTGGACGGTTTGTTTGGAGTGTATCTTATTGTCTTTATTTGATTTTAGTTTAGTTTAAGCCTCTTCACCTTCTTCCTCTTCATCAAACTCGCCTTCCTCCTCGGCGGTGGCGTCCTGGTACTGTTGGTATTCAGAGACCAAGTCGTTCATGTTGGACTCGGCTTCAGTGAATTCCATCTCGTCCATACCCTCACCAGTGTACCAATGCAAGAAAGCCTTACGACGGAACATAGCGGTGAACTGTTCGGAGACTCGCTTGAAGAGTTCCTGGATGGCGGTGCTGTTACCAATGAAGGTGGCGGACATCTTAAGACCACGTGGTGGGATGTCGCAGACAGCTGTCTTGACGTTGTTGGGGATCCATTCAACAAAGTAGCTGCTGTTCTTGTTCTGGACGTTCAACATCTGTTCGTCGACTTCCTTCATTGACATACGTCCACGGAACATAGCGGCGACGGTGAGGTATCTGCCGTGACGTGGGTCACAGGCAGCCATCATGTTCTTGGCATCGAACATCTGTTGAGTGAGCTCAGGGACGGTAAGAGCTCTGTATTGCTGGCTACCACGTGAGGTAAGTGGAGCGAATCCGGGCATGAAGAAGTGGAGACGTGGGAAGGGGACCATGTTGACAGCCAATTTACGGAGATCGGCGTTCAACTGACCTGGGAATCGGAGACAAGTTGTGACACCTGACATGGTGGCAGAAACGAGATGGTTCAAGTCACCGTATGTTGGGGTGGTGAGTTTCAAGGTTCTGAAGCAGATATCGTAGAGAGCCTCGTTATCAATGCAGTATGTCTCGTCGGTGTTCTCAACGAGTTGATGGACTGAGAGTGTGGCGTTGTATGGTTCTACGACTGTGTCTGATACCTGAAAAATATCAAATGATAAAAACATAAGTCAAAAATTACAAAGAGTTTCGCTTATCATTATTGATACAGAGATTTTGAAAAGTTAAGTCGGTAAGAAAATTATTTTGAATGTAATCTTTAAGTCTTTAAACGAAATAATTACATGTATCAATATTATGGATTAATTATCATTTACTAACTTAAAGTTGTACATATGTTTAAGATATATTAAAACTTGAGGGGAATACTTACTTTTGGTGATGGTACAACGGAGAAGGTGTTCATGATTCTGTCGGGGTATTCTTCACGGATCTTGCTGATGAGGAGTGTTCCCATACCAGATCCGGTACCACCACCAAGGGAGTGTGTAAGTTGGAATCCCTGAAGGCAGTCGCAGCTCTCAGCCTCTTTCCTGACTACGTCAAGGACGGAGTCGACGAGTTCAGCTCCCTCTGTGTAGTGACCCTTGGCCCAGTTGTTACCGGCTCCGCTCTGTCCGAACACAAAGTTGTCTGGTCGGAAGATCTGTCCAAATGGTCCAGATCGGACGGAGTCCATGGTACCTGGCTCTAGATCGACGAGGATTGCACGTGGTACATATTTGCCACCGGTGGCTTCATTGTAGTAAACGTTGATTCTCTCGAGCTGGAGATCAGAGTCACCGTGGTAGGTACCAGTGGGGTCAATACCGTGCTCGTCTGAGATGACTTCCCAGAACTGAAAGCAGAAAAATAAATTTGTAAAGTACAACGATTTCTTCAATCAATGATTTAACTAATTGAAATTTCAGTTTTAGCAACGGGCTTTCCAATGTTTACTTGTGATCGAATCTGAACAATGGCTAGATGTAGATTCAACCAGCAGTGATTATCGATTCCACTTATTCGTTTTCGTATTTGTAAAGGGTATAGTATTTCAAATACATGTACTTTATAAATAATCTAATAGCTGACTTTTTATTATCATTTTTTCACTTGTTCGTGTATATAGACAACTGGCAGCAAATCAATTGGTTGCCAATGACGTCCTTTGAAACAAACTAAATTGTTTTCCAAGAGACAGGCCTAGCGGAAATCTATGTTTCTTATTTTCCCAAAGATATGTTACGAGAAATAAATTCAACTTTGAAATTAGAATATCGTCCGAGTTACTATTTTAATAAATTAATTCGTCTTTGCTTGCAATATCTATATTCTGATTGTTGTATCTTATTGGCGCGCGTAATAAAATTCTTTCAGTTGGCAACAAACTTATAAAGTGCCCATTATGTACGTTTTTGAATTGGATATTTATTGGACCTGCATTGAATGCTCGAACATTCTTTCCGTTGGCAATATAAAATTCAAATTTTAATCTGAACAATAAATCAAACTTATCCCTTTACAAAGTATGCTTGATTAGATTTCCGATAACGTCAGAATTTAGAATTCAAACACCGGCTCATCAATAGACGGATTTTTAGGTAACTTAATTTGGTACAAAAAAATCTGGTAATTTGAGAATAATCGTTAATGAGACATTAAATCTGTTCTTTTATCCGATCTTCGATAGAAAATCGATAACTTAACATTGCATAGACAAGCTTGTTTGATGAATCACCCTAAGAATGAAGTATTATAAAGGATGTCACTATTGAATTGGCTGAGAACTTTCTCGGGTACTTGGATATTTGTCTCTAAGTATCTAAGTGATTCCCATTAAAAAAAAACTTTATTTGACCTTCTTACAATCTCGGCCTGCTTTTGTGGGCTTAACAAAAACAATGCTTATTTTGTTCAAAGATTATCGTCACTAAAAAGTTTCTTCTAAAGTTTTATTCCTTTCTTTTCTTTTCTTTTTACTTTTGATTTATGTACTGAAAACCATGTCACTTTTATTCTTATTACTGACTCTTTCAATTAAACAGACTAAGGTTTGAAACTATTAAACTATTTTTTTTTTTTTTTTTTTTTTTTTGTATTCGGTGGTGATATGTTTTTTGTCAATCCAATGTTAAATTACAATAATTACTGTATGTTGAAAAGTTTAGAATTTATTATAATTACTTAAATTTGTCGATGACAAGGACGCTTGAGTACTTTACTCAAATATTTTATGAAGTATAATTATTCAATAAAGAGGAATTACTTATGGGTGGATAATTTGTCATATCCTCTTGAAAAGATAACCAATAGTGTATCGGTATGTTATGACAAGGGATTTAGCATATCGATCTATACACTAAAAGTCAAGGATTGTCTAGTATTGGCAAATAAATACTTTTGATAAATTCCCCCCTAGCAACACACTTGGAGTGTAAACAAACAACAACAAACGATGGTTGTCGTGTTCGCAACATGTTGCTACATGGACATTTCAAGAGGCCAAACTGGACCAAATCTATATTAGATTTAGAATAAAGATATTTGACAGAAAATATGCTGTAATTAAAATGTAGGGGCCTAAAAATGAGGCATTTAAAATCATTAAAACTTCGGTTTTTGATACCTTTACAGGGTTGCTAAGATGTATATATTTGAGCGTTTAACAATGGAAATTTATTTCTTTTTTACAAAAACTGTGTGCTTCAACAAGTAACATATTCGTTCTTTATATGACAAACGTTTGTTTGTTTTTATAACCTTTTAAGCATAAAAAGAATTTTAAAATAAGGAGAAAGTGATAGCCTTCGTGTCTTAAAATTTCACTCTTTGTCACTTTGTTTGGGATTCTTTGGGATCTAACGTTTAGTCTACAGAATTTATCTGAGGGTAATTTTGATTAGGAAAAAACAAAAGAATAGAACAATTTCGTTACGATAGTTTTACCCGGGTAATAAATCATGGAAAGAAGGAAAATAGACGAACTAGGTTATTATTTGATAGTAGTTTTTAAGTTTTCCTGTGTTTTATTTGGCGCAATAAATACACAATGTATATATTTCTCATTTAGTAATCCTTAAGTTGACCACTGATATTTGACATACGAATTAAACTATAACACCTAAGTGTCGTTATTTACTTAAACTATCAATATGAGACTTATCATGCACAAACATGCTCTGTTTGTTGGCAACACTTAGCGGGAATTGGACAGGAATGTACGACGGTTAACGTGCGTATAATATAACTCCCTATTTTGATAAGAGGATTTTATGATTTAATAAAAAGGAGATAAAACTCAGTTATCTATTGACATTTGCCTTGTTTTAGAGAGCTAACCGATTTAATTACAATGTTCAAATAGGGGGTTTATGATATTTCAACCGCTATGGTTTAGCCGGCGATACTTGCATCGTTCCTGTCATACATGGAGATATTGTTTAAAAGTAAATTAATAAAAACTTTCGGCTTTTTAGTTAGAGAAGCTTTAGAAAGTATCAGAAAAATCTTCCACTTCTATGTTTAATTTCCCGACCGACATTGTGGACCGGTTGTCAAAATAAGGCTCTAACATTGGTCAATTTAAAAATTATGCTAAATTTTAACCAGTCAGATAGTTAGATTTCAGATCGCTTTCGATCCGTGGTATGAGAACAATTTTAACATCTTAAAATCTAAAAACACTTTTCTTCAAAAATTTACAGCTTTGTTTAAATAGACTTGCACTCTTTATACGTCATTTAAGATCGAGTACCTTTCAATTTTTGTAGGCTATAAATGAAAGTTGTATGACGTTTCAACAAAAGACGAATTGTGAAAAAAAATCATTTTCCCTCTGTCATTCTAAAGTCAGTCCCTCATAATGCCATATACCTATTTTAAATGGGTGTACTTGATTTATATCTATTTATATATTTAAGATTAGTGCAAATGATAAATCTTTTTTTTCCCTTTTTTTTCCTTTAAATCTGCTTTAACTTGGAGATTAATAGACGTAATATAATCCGTTTTACAGTCAACCCAATTTGTATTTATTTACAACAGTCTTTCTTTATAAAATCTTTGTAATTTTAGAATTATAAATATCTCGTTTCTTAGCTTAAACCTCATTAAAAATCGTGTCACATAAAATATTTCAATACGCAATGGAAAAGATACTTTTGATATTGCTGAACGGAAGCTATTTGATCATGTACAGACCTATATTATGACAGCATCGATCTATTAGCAAGTTTACGAGAATTGTTGCATGTCTTCGTCAATAAATTAAGACTCGCAAATTTCTGTAACATTTTGTTAATGTATCCTGTTCTATTTTGAGAAAGTGATTTAAACGTGAATAGTACAAGTATTGAGTTGCCAAATAAGTACTTAAAGATAGAAAATACGAAAAACGGGAGAAAACCGATTAACAAATTAAAATATATCTTTTAACGTATCTGTAAATCGATTAAAATCAGACTTTTTGTTTCCTTGCTATTTAGATGAACTTCAAAATGCTTTGTTAAACTTTTTGTCATGGAAATTTTTTTGTGAACTACTGAAATGCTAATTGTGACAAAGGTGCTTTTATGAAACGAATGTCGATTTAACTGATTACATACAAAAACGATGTGGTGTAACGATTCACCCTTTCGTTTTTTTCTCTCTCTTAACACGAAAGTCAAAATTTGAAAATAACCGCTATTAGTCAAGGTCATCTTTTATTACAAGGGGGGTCCGTATTTTGTTGCTCAGCGGAGCGATTCAAACTACTTTGAAATAAAGCTTTTATCAGTGCATCTTTCGTTGTGAAATTTCAAAGTTAGTACATTTGTGTCCTTAAAACTAATATGACCTAAACCAAGCCCAAGAAACGGGTTTAAATAGAAGTGTGTACATATGCATTGAAAAATACCACGACCAAGTTATCAAAATTAAACAGAAAGTTCGTCTTCCACACATTTTATCACTTGATACTCAACAACTTTGCTTTAATACCTTCTTCTTTACAAAGGTGATTGTATATTTGCCCCATTTTTCATTGTTTTAACCAATAAAAAATCAATGACTACATCTTAAACATTTTAATCGAACAATTGAGTCCATTTTGTTTAATCAAATTACAACGGAAAGATGTGTTTTTTGATACAATAGAAACTACACTGAACGGCATTTTTATACGCCATTAATTACAAATTCTATCTGATTAGATAGTAAATGTAGCCGAATAAACGGAAAGATATTGAATAAATCAAGACGGGTTTTTTCGTGTGTCGTAAGACTACAAATCTAAATAACTTTTTGTTAGAAATATTTTTCTCTTAATTAAATTCTTGCGAAATTAACGTTTTTAACATGAAAAAAAAATTGATTAGTTCGTCATTTCACTGACACGATATAGCTTAAACATTTCATTGAGTTGAGTTTCAGACTTAAGTGATGAGTACATGTATGTTTAAAAAATAAATAAATAAAAATAGCAAAAAAAAATATAATAACATCTTACCTTGGCACCAATCTGGTTACCGCACTGACCGGCTTGGATGTGTACAATTTCACGCATGTTGAATGTTTAATGTATAATGTACGTTAAAATAACGTTTTCGTCGTTGTCCGCTTTTTCCTTGGCGAGTAATGCGTTGGTCGGTGAACGCGGTATTTATACTCGTTATTCGATATGGGTTTTATACTGGTTCCCGATTCAGAGATGTGAACAAATAACATCCTGTTTGACGTGTTTGGCAAAAGCGGTAACCAGCGGTTTCAAATGTATTGGTTATCAATGAAATTTAAACTTGGTAACTGGTCCAAATATTTGGTCGCCGCGTATAATTGGCCAGTATTTTTCAATAATTGCTTAGAGTACTGAAAAGTTAAGCTATACAAACAAGAGGATTTTTGTTGTAAATCTCCATATAATTATAATATTTCAATAATAAACCGGAGGGAAAACTATCCATTACTTGCCCGGACTTGAATGTATTATATTGATAAAGAAAAAATTGAGAATACAAAAGCATGGATGGTTAATTATCAACAGGCGTATGCGTGTTTCGATTAATTAGCGTGTTTTATATTATCTAATACGGAAAAAGGACTGTATATAGATTCAATATAAATTATTAAAACTGGATGTCATTTCAATGGCTCAATACACCTACAGTAACATATATTAGAAATTTATAATATGTTTGTCCATATATATGTCTCTGGCAATGTCAAAGTTAAACTTTATCTTTGAAAAAGTTAAAAATGAAAAAAGGTGTTTTTTCTCATTTTTGGGTGGTTTCATTTATATATGTATAAATGGTATTCTCATTTCTTTAACATAATTAAAAGGTCTGCTCTAACTAGATCTTAATCCCCATAACCCCTCACAAACCGAACATACTGTATACGCCGCTCACCTCCCCCATCCCCTGCAAGTCCGTTGTTAATAATTAAAAACACGGAGCTATATCATATATTATATTATATAAGTCTCTGTAAAAAAAATAATAAGAAATTGGGTATGTAAATGATATCCTTAGATTTAAAAAAAAATGTGTTTGATAGATAAGAAGATTTATTTCACAGATTTTGCACTGTTCTTTATATAAATAAACCTGAATATCGAATTGACAAAAGTCTTAATTGTGTTTATCTGGAGTGATTTCTATGAAGGGTAAGTAAATACACTCGAAAACTTTTTCGGGCGTTTCAATATAAGTTAATTAAATAGATTCAATAAGTGATATTAAATTCCTTTATTCGAGTTGTCAGAAGTGATAGGACATGAAAATTGAAGATTTAATAACATGTTATGACTTGGTCTCCACGGAAGAGGTCAATAACATACTTAAAGTTATAGGTATTTTCTTACTTATCAAAAGGTTTAGGTGAGAAAAGTTATACTGATACTGGAATGACAAGATCTACAAACAATCTATATTGATTGATTTAAACACGTGTATTATCTCTGCTGTTTGACTTGATTGTACGTGATTCATTTTATCAGCACCTACAAATATTTAAGCGTTCGTTGTTTTGCGTGCCATTATTTTGTCATTGTTAATTGTTTATTATCATCATCATCATCATCATCATCATCATCATCATCATCATCATCATCATCATCATCACCATTATTATTATTATTATTTGCTTTTCAAACGTGCATATTTAATGTCGAGGCCAGTACAGACTGACAACACCACTGTTACTTCACCCTTACATTCGCTTTTGATTTCACGGAGAATTTTATCTGACAGGAAAGTCTTCATAGTAGTCTGATAACATACAAGTCTGCACACCCGTGTTGTCTGACTCGACCATATAGAGAAAGACAAGTCTACACATCCGTGTTGTTTGACTCGACCATATAGAGACAGACAAGTCTACACATCCGTGTTGTCTGACTTGACTCTATACAGACAGACATGTCTACACACCCGTGTTGTCTGACTTGACTCTATACAGAAAAACAAGTCAACACTCTCTTGTTGTTTGACTTAACTCTAAACATAAAGACAAATATATACATCCGTGTTGCCTTGCTTGACTTTATATACTGAACGACAAGTCTTCACATCCGTGTTGTCTGACTTAACTCTATACAGACAGACAAGTCTACACACCCGTGTTGTCTGACTTGACTCTACAAAGAAAGACAAGTCTTCTCATCCGAGTTGTCTGACTTGACTCTATAAAGAAAGACAAGTCTACACACCCGTGTTTTCTGACTTGACTCTATACAGACAGATAAGTCTACACACCCGTGTTGTCTGACTTGACTCTATACAGAAAGACAGGTCTTCACATCCGTGTTGTCTGACTTGACTCTGTACAGAAAGACCAGTCTACACTCCAGTGTTGTCTGACTTGACTCTATACAGTAAGACAAATCTTCACATCCGTGTTGTCTGACTCAACTCAATACAGAAAGACAAGTCTTAACACCCTTGTTGTCTGACTTAACTCTGAACAGAAAGACAAGTCTTCACACCCGTGTTGTCTGACTTAACTCTATAAAAGAAGACAAGTCTTCACATCCGTGTTGTCTGACTTAACTCTATACAGACAGACAAGTCTACTCATCCAAGTTGTCTGACTTGACTCTATACAGAAAGACAAGTCTACACATCCGTGATGTCTGACTTGACTCTTCACAGGAAGACAAGTCTACCCACCCGTGTTGTCGTACTTGACTCTACACAAGAAGACAAGTCTTCACACCCGTGTTGTCTGACTTGACTCTATACAGAAAGACAGGTCTTCACATCCGTGTTGTCTGACGTGACTCTATACAGAAAGACCAGTCTTCACACCCATGTTTTCTGACTTGACTCTATACAGAAAGGACAAATCTTCACATCCGTCGTTGTCTGACTCAACTCAATACAGAAAGACAAGTCTTCACACCCGTGTTGTCTGACTTAACTCTATAAAAGAAGACAAGTCTTCACATCCATGTTGTCTGACTTAACTCTATACAGACAGACAAGTCTACACACCCGTGTTGTCTGACTTGACTCTACAAAGAAAGACAAGTCTACTCATCCAAGTTGTCTGACTTGACTCTATACAGAAAGACAAGTCTACACATCCTTGTTGTCTGACTTGACTCTTCACAGGCAGACAAGTCTACACACCCGTGTTGTCTGACTTGACTCTATACAGAAAGACAAGCCTTCACACCTGTGTTGTCTGACTTGACTCTATACAATCAGACAAGTCTACACACTCGTGTTGTCGTACTTGACTCTACACAAGAAGACAAGTCTTCACACCCGTGTTGTCTGACTTGACTCTATACAGAAAGACAGGTCTTCACATCCGTGTTGTCTGACTTGACTCTATACAGAAAGACCAGTCTTCACATCCGTGTTGTCTGACTTGACTCTGTACAGACAGACACGTCTACACAACCGTGTTGTCGTACTTGACTTTATAAAGAAAGAGAAGTCAACACACCTGTGTTGTCTGACTTGACTCTATACAGAAAGATAAGTCTACAAATCCGTGCTATCTGACTTAACTCAATACAGAAAGACAACTCTACACACCCGTGTTGTCTGACTTAACTCAATAGAGAAAGACAAGTGTTCACACCCGTGTTTTCTGACTTGAAAATATACAGACAGACAGGTTTACACATCCTTGTTGTCTGACTTGACTCGATACAGACAGACAAGTCTATTCATCCACAGGTGTTGTTTGACTATGTTGTTTTCTTTTTCAGAAGGACATTTTTGTATTTAAGTCAGAGCATGCACTTGCTGTGCTAATTACCTTGGATCCAATGATTCGTTAGGCAGTTAGACGATGCATGATTACTAATAAATGCTATGGCTTTTAATTGTATAACACGTAACATTGATGTGGAAAATGGAAAAGAAAGACGAACAAACTTAGATTTTTTGCCTAATATATACCTTCCGTAAAGGGTACATGTACTACATAACTATTGTAGATTGAAAGCTAAGTCACATTAATAACATCAACAACACAGCTCTAACAAATTAGCCTGTCCACTTGTTCTGACTGAAATAAATTTCACAGAGGTGTCAGTAAACACTACTTTATAACTATTATTAAGAACCGCCCGTGCATAACCAAATTATACTGAAGGATTTTTCTTATATAAATATTTGACGAAACCTCCGTTCAATAAACTGTGGCAATTAAGTCCCTGGCAAGTTTATTTTCATATTTTCATTTAGCTTTTAAGAAAACAAAATTAACCATTACGTTTCAACTATTAAGTATATTTACTTAAATCATTTATTTAACTCATGTAGTGTACAGAATATACCGTCAAACTTGTGATAATGATCGTTTCCGAATAAAGACGTACGTGTTGTTTTTTAAATAAAAAAACTGCCACCTATGCAAACCATTTTAGTTTTTTTTTTGAAACTAAAGTACATCTTAACTTTAGAGAAAGCCTTTATCGACAAAAATAACGAATAAACCCAATTCTCTGGTGTGACCTTGACTTTTGACTCCGTGATTCCGATGGGTAGTATGCACTTATTAAATCTAGGTGAATTGTGCAAGGATTTCCTTGCTATGGTACAGTCAGATCAATGACAGTTTCCCTCTCGATCGAACAAGACAAGTTTCATTTCCAAGAACGCTGGTCTTTCTATACAGGTTGGACTGTAATATCATTATTACTGATACAAATATTTTCTTATCGTCTTTCAATAGACACTGTTGTAGAATGCGACACAAAAACAAGGTTGTCATTGCTTTAAAAACCAATTTATCATATTTTGATTTGGCTTCTGATAGATAATAACTGAACACTAACCCAGTTTTTTTTATCTAGGCCTGTATATTTTGCTGCCATGTCAAACAAGTTTTAATAGTTGCAAAAATTATCGATAAATAATGATATACAAAAATAAAAACATGTATCAGTGTAACTTTTTCGGATTTGGCGCGAAAATGTTCATTTCCTTGTTTTCAAAAGGAACACGTCTCTGTGGTCTTGTTGTTTTGTTGTTTTGTGTGTTTTTTGTTGTTGTTTTTTTGTTGCTATTCTTTTTTTTTCTTTTTTTAAATTGTGTCGCAATGGATGCGTCCGGGACAGACAGCAGCAGTTTAAGGGAAATTTTTGTGATGCAGTGCGCAATAGTGTGTGCGCGTGCGCGCACGTGTGTGTGTCGTTGTTTATGCATCCTAAATCTTTCTTTTATGAATTTATAACCGGTCTAAATTAACGCTCATCAATTTGCGTATCACCTTCTTTATAACGCTAGGATGAAACGTATACTATACAAGAAGGCTTATATAGACAATTACATAATTTGCAAACTTTGTTTACTTTGAAGATTTTTGTAAGGAACTGCACAATAAGGCAAGAAGTGAGCCCTTGTTGAGCCTGTGTTAACCACGGCCCAGACAGCTACAATACTATGTAATCTCTTCCATTCCAAGAACAATCTTTCACTGGAACAGACTACCTCCTATCTAACTATCTAACTATCATTTCATGTCGTACGTAATAGTTCAGTATGGCTGTCAGCATCACATAATGGCATATAGCATCCGATTCTGGGTGGACATAGTAATACCTAAACACCGCACTTTGTTACAATGGTGCACAGATTTGGAATACAATACCATCTAATTTACGTGTACGTTCTTCTACTTCTCAACATCTTTTTAAAGATATGTGTAAGATATCAAATAAATATCTTCATAACTCTGTCATTATGTTATAATGCTGATCATGCATGTATATTTGTTAACATATTTGTAAATGAAAAATAAATGATATTCAATATCTAAAAGGATCGAGCGTTTGTCAAAAAAAAGTTAATATAATGAAATGCTAAGTAGTTATTATTGTTTTATGATGTTTTTGTGTTTGTGTTTCTATATATTGTTAAGAAGGTCACATTTAAAATTAAGATATGTTATTTGTTTTCTACGATGGTATATCTTCGTGTGTTACGTACCTTCTTTATATCATGGGCTCTCACCATAACCACGGATTTATATTAATATAAATACGTGTCATAACAGATTGCCAGGCTGCTTTTACTTAAAATTAACAGACTTTTTCTATTGCCCGCTGTTTATTTTATGTTACATGTTTATTCTTATTATTATTTTTTTTGCAGACGTCTTCTTTTATTTCATTTAACAACATAAAAATTATTGGCTTGACGCGTAGACTGTCTACGTCCGCCAGGAAAGGAAGAAAGAGAGATGGTTAATTACTGAAACTATTGGAATCATACACAGCTATCAACAACCCTGGCCTTACTCTGCTAAAATTTGCAGAATGGATTTGCCCACATTGGAATTTGAAACATATAAAAAGGGTAGATTCATCATCAAAATTATCCGAATCCCCGTTGTCGTCTACAACGATAGCTTATGTATTCGGACTTAATTTACACCAAAATATTCAAGGGAGGCAACTCTTAAAAGACAAAATGTCACATCAACGGACACGTCTATTTCTTTGAAAAGTCTTCTTGTTAAGGTATCTGTGTGTGTAACAGAGGAATATTTAGGTTAAAACATTTTAATTTACATAACTCTACATGGATACACAAAGATTTTCCATGATCATTGTTAAAGATGGTGGAAATTAGGATGTTTAATTTTGACAGATTTGTTTTCATGTTTTGTTTAGGTTTACAAATAACATTGGGGCCGTTTGCATGGATATTCATTTATATGTTCACTATTTTTTGTTTTATTTAAAGGTAAAATAGAACACCGTTGGTCAGATGAAGAAAATTCGATGTGGTTGTCAAAACAAAACTGCAACTTGTGAAACCTTTAAATTGTTTAATTAGGTCCAAGTTCCTCTGCTAGTTGTTCAGGGCCCTGATTACTTAACAGCTGTTAAATTTATCAGGATGTTAATTTTGTTATGTTAGGGAATTTTGCATATTTTGAAAAAAAGCAGAATTTTGTCACTTAACAAAGTTAACTAAGTTATACTTAATAAACTACTCCAGAAGGCACATCTACATTGTAATGGTAATGTAATGATGTTGAAATTGGTGAATATAAAATGAAATAAGGCCTAATACCCTATCTGAAATAGCGTCTTTTTTCAGAATGTAAAACATAATTTCAACACTCAGCAACCTAAAGTAATCAAACTGTTTCTTATTGTTAGAAAAATTGAACTAAAGCTACTATCCCACATGAAGTTTAAGTGTTTTTTTTAAATAAAATGTAATCAAAAGATAAACTTTTACCATAGGTTTGTGCATTTATATGGAACAAGATGATTAATACATGTCTTGTACAAAGAAAAAACATTAAAGTAAAGTTTTTGCAATTTTAACGATACTGTTATTTTTAACCGTTACAACGCTTTATCTTGTAAATATGGACTTAAATGTTATACACATCCTTTAACTGGATCGAGTATCTGTTGGTTGCAGTTAGAACAGTTGTGCGCTTGTTATTTTTATATTATTTTGCAATCCATTCCTGCACAATTATGAATATTCCATAGAAAATTATGTCTATAAAAAGAGACAAAAGAAGAAGTACATATATATCGGTAATTAGGCTTGAATCAAAATTAGTGGTATTAAAGTTTAGATAATGATTAATTAAAAGTTAAACTTCTGCATGGAAATGCTTTTTTTGGACTAAATTAAGACCTATATTTGTTATGCTTTAATAAATTTAACCGATTTGTTTTTGTTTTGTTTTTTCAGACAGACAAAAAGTTTGTATGTTTAGTTAAGACGGAGAGAACTAAAGGAAGCCAGAAAAAATGGCAGTGAGTATATCATAGGAACTACTGAAAATTTTATGCATATCTTATACTTTGAAATTATTGCTTTAATTTTTCCACTTGTAGAAAATTCTGCTGGATACTTTAGCAAACACACAGTAATGAAAAATAATCACTAGGGTGTGAGTTTAAGTTTCTAAATATACTATCAAGTTATCAACAATTCACTATTTCTTTAAAATTTACAGAAAGCACTCTAAGATGTTACTCTTTTTTTTCCCCATAAAATATGTTAATTTATTGATATATATCATGATTAAATTTGATTAAAATTAAAATGAATTAATTTATTGATATTTGAATAGAATAGATAAATGTTAGTAAATTTATATTTGAATACCGGTAAAATATGATTATTTATATTTCAGGATGCTGGGGAGAAAGGGGAAGAGGGTCATTCCCAAGGGGGTAGTCCAGCATCAAAGGTATATACTTTCTGTAAATTGTAGTGTTGAATTTTTAATTTCTAATAGACCTGTGCTTACCTGTTTTCCATAAATAATGTGCTAAATTCATGCTTTTTACCCGGAGTCAGGATTTTATTTCCAGGATTTTGGGAACATGATCCGTACCCATGGAATTGGGAATTTCAGTGATGCTTTGTTTAAAATTGGGAAAAAATGCATGATTGAAATTTTGCAGTGATTAAATGAATGCAAACAATCACTGTCTAGGATGGCATCTTCAAACATTTAAGCACTATAACAGTGGAGAAGCCCTTATTTTCAAAGATTTTATATTTTTTTATTCAATATTTTTATTTTGTAACTTTCAATCGGGAATTTTTTCCTGTTGATTGGGAAAATAATATACTATTTTCAATTAGGAATATGACTGAATATCAGCTAAAAAATAAGCTAAAAAAATCCCTGCTCTCTTTCATAGTACATGTATTTGTTATAATCCCTGTTATACATGTATATTATAATCCATGCTTGACCTTCTTTTATGAACTTAGTTGGATAACCTGGCAAGGGAAGACCTGCTCAAGTTTGTGAAAAGACAGATGGTCAATATGCAGAAACTTAAGGGTAAAAATGAAGGTAAGTAAATCTGTATGATTTTTTCTCGTGCGAAAATCTTATTATTTTGTGGGAAAAATCTAAAAGAAAGTTTATACATGTATAATTTTGATACAAGTTGTATGCATTGTAGCTAAAGTATGATTTAAATATATTTTTCGAGTATAAATAGATAGTGAAATTGTTGACTTGCATTATGTTGGTGGTTCTACCTGAAATAATGTACGAGGGACATCTTAGGTCTTCCTTCACAAGTAAAGTTTGTAAGTTGCCATATGACCTCTACTGTGTAGGTGTTGCATAAAACACAACCAAACAAAAAAAATCATTGTCTTAAAAGCACTTTACTGTAATAATGGGACTATTTCCCTAAGTTATATACATGTATTGATAACAGGTAAATAAAGAGGATGTTATCTATTATTGATTTGTATAGAGAATAATTTTTGACTAATATATGTATTCATGATTATTCATGACCAATACTAAAGCTGTCCAGGTATCCACCAAAGCTTGAAAAATTACCAGAGCAAAGTTTTAAAGGACGCTTTTGTTGATGAGCCTCAAATCTCAACACAATGATTTTATGTCAATGAACCACTTCTTTGTAATCAAACCAGGATGTTTAATTGAATTCACTGTTTAGATCTAGATGAAATATATGTTATTCTATGACAGATTTATCAAAGAAAATGGTGGAGTTGGAGAAGAAAGCTGATGGAGGAGAGGGTACTGACATTGAGAAGAAGTTGTCTGAGGCTACAGCAGAAAAACAGGAAATTATGATGAAATATCAAGCTGTGCAGCTTGAGTTAGAGAGGCAAAGGAATCTTACTGAGGTACACATATTCTGTTGAAACAGAATTTAACTATTTTACCCTGAATTTTTTAATGGATTTGCCCAGCTATAATTTTGAACATTATGTTTCCAAGTTTAAGAAATTTCATTATCAAATATATAAATTAAGCTACCAACAACATAGAGCTTGGTCAGACAGCACGAGGGGGCACTAACTGCTCCATGGGATTTAGAATTAAAGGACTTAATTATAATGTCAAAAATGACTTGCTACCAGTATACATGTATATACAGGTCATAGATAAAATCTGTGTAGTCAAACCAGACTGTTTAACTTTGGCTGTAAAGTTTTAGCATTATATTTGATGCATTGAAAATGTCTATTTACAAATAATCTAACTTAGGGAAAATTGATGGTTTAACTCAGTTGCATGCTGATAAAATGAAAATGCACAGAGAAGCACCTTCCGCTTGAAAGTTACAAGCTATAAGATTTTTTTAGTAACAGTGTCAAAACAAGCTCACTTGAAAAAAAGGTAAGTTACCAGTTATTTTGATAAGCCAGAAGGCAGTGATTGTCCTCTTCTTTTTGTTACTTGTTTTCTTGTCACAGACTTCTTAATATGTGAAATTTGTGCGACTGATAAGTGAAATGTTAAGATAATTAAAGTTGCATACTGATTGTTATTACAGGATATGGAAACTGAAATAAGTGGACTTAAAGAGCAGAAAGCCAACATAGAGGGTCAACTTGCTGCTACAGAAAAAAAGGATAAGGTATACGGATAATAAAATTAGAAAATTGTCATTGGCTATTTATGTTATAAATGAGGGAAGAAAATGTGCTACATTTGTAGATGCAGGAGTTATTAGTATAATGTTATCAGAAGCTGATGTTTGAAGCCAGTCTTAAATGCAGCATTTTCATTGGTTGATTGAACTGTTGTGTTCAAATATAAACCAATCAGATGTCATGATATTTTAGACTGATTCTCAAACTGTAGTTTTTATAACTTGGCTTGTTGAGTGGTTATGGGAATTTTTAACCTTTGGTTTTCAATCATTGAAGTGTATATGGAAAAAAAGATAAAGATGCATTTCTTTATGCTAGGATTTTTATATACAAATCTATAAGTTAAAATGTTTTATATATGTAGTTTACTTATTACACCAGTCCTGGATGATTGATTATTTATTTAGATAGTCTGACTTATGATTAACATATTACTTGATAATACATGTATTAATTGTAAAACTATTTAAAAAAAAAAAAAGATGTTAAAAGATTGAGACTTAATGAAAATTATAATTTTTGTAAATTTGTAACCACTCAATATCCTCAGAATATGGTAAAACTCTTGAATTGCATGATGGGATAAAACTAAGAGACATTGACCTTAGATAAGCTTATAGTGTTCTTATGTTCTTAGCCTGTTTTTTATTTGTAAATTTCTTATATTTTTAGAACCCTGGTTATTGAAATATGACTGGAATGTTTTGTTTTTGAATTGAGATCTATTATAGTTCTTACCTCCTAAATACATTAGCCTTACCATATAGCGATAGTAACTGTAATGAGATGTCTTTGTAACCAGTATAGAGCAGGGCCAGACAACACATCCTTGAAATTGTAACTTTTATGAAGGGGAAGTAAGGCAAAGCTCCTCAGAATGTAATGTAACTTTAACTGAGTAGCAAGGATGTTCAGAATGTGACATAACTTTTTAGTTAGAGCAGTGTGGCAGTGACACTTGTAATGTAATGAAATATGTTGTATTTATGTGTTAGGAGTTACATGAGCAGTTAGAATGTATGAAGATGAAGGATGAGACAATGGCCAACACATTCCAGGTGTTCCAGAGCGAGGCTGACCAGCTTGCTAAAGCCAATAAAGTATGTGCCTAAAACTAACCAATTTTGCTAAAGCCAATAAAGTATGTGCTTATAACTGACAAATTTTGCTAAAGCCAATAAAGTATGTGCCTAAAACTGACCAATCTTGCATAAGCCAATAAGGTATGTGCCTAAAACTAACCGATATTTCTAAAGCAATAAATTATGTAGTAAAAACTGACCAATCTTTCTAAAACCAATTAAGTACATGCATGTGCCTAAAACTGACCAATCTAAAGTACATGTATGTGTCAATTTGTCCACTTAAAATCTTTGCTTTTGTGGCTTTAAAATTAAATGTATCCACAGATCAATTTGTCAAGATTGATTTTCATTAACCATTGCATATACTTATATGACTGTCACGGTTCAGAACTGTTCACTATTTAGGGGAGAAGATGTGTAAGCGGCCGGATAGCTCAGTCGGTAGAGCCGCGGAACGGTATTCCGAGGGTCCCGGGTTCGAGTCCCGGTTAGGCTGCATATTTTTCTCACCCTGTGACATTTGGCGCCCAACGTGGGGCCCGTGACTGCATCTAGCTCAGAGTTCAATTAGCATTGCTCGGTAGCTTTGTGAAATTCGAGGACGAATTTCAATATTGTGGTGAAGTATGTCACGGTTCAGAACTGTTCACAATTTAGGGGAAAAGATGTGTCAGTGGCTGGATAGCTCGGTCGGTAGAGCCGCGGAACGGTATTCCGAGGGTCCCGGGTTCGAGTCCCGGTCAGGCTGCACATTTTTCTCACCCTGTGACATTTTGGCGCCCAACGTGGGGCCGTGACTGATATAGCTCACAGTTTAATTTACATTGCTCTGTAACTCTGTGAAATTCGAGGACGAATTTCAATATAGCAGGGGAGTATGTCACGGTTCAGAACTGTTCACTATTTAGGGGAGAAGATGTGTAAGCGGCCGGATAGCTCAGTCGGTAGAGCCGCGGAACGGTATTCCGAGGGTCCCGGGTTCGAGTCCCGGTTAGGCTGCATATTTTTCTCACCCTGTGACATGACTTTATTGAAAAATGAGATATTTCCATGAATCAATAGGTCTTGTCTATCTTTCATTACAAAAATTGATTTATTGAAAAGTAATAAATCCTTTAATACAGTGTACATTGATTATGGGGACAGGTTTTAATTGTTTCCAATTTGAATGCAAATAAATTTCTTTAGAAAAATATATATATATATTAGAAACGTAAAATAATTTAATTCTTAATAATTAAACTTATCAAAGCTGAATTTGCATTTTATAGACCTTCTATGAAGAGAGACATGTATTATCTCAACCATCAGACAACTTTTTGACCTATGGGAAAGATATCAAATGATTTATTTGAAAATATGGTTTATTTGTGGTATTTTATTTTAAAGGGTATAAAGCTAAATTTTATGAAATATTTTTATGAAATTTATCAGCAGTAAAATAATATTGGTTTAATAATTTTAAAGTAGATTCTAAAACAGAGTTGTAATATAGAATGCCTCTGCTATTTAACACACATGAATACCGGTACATAAAAGAAGTAAAAAAAATGTTCCAAAACAATATATTATTCTTAGCACTAGTTTTTAAAAGTACTAGGGTTTTATCCATTTATTAATGATTTTGTGCATGCCCTATTTGCTTTTAAGGCAATTTACTACCATATTTATTTCATACAAGCATTTTTGAAGTGTTCTTTTTTAAAATTCAAAAACAATTATTTTTACAGAAGCTATATAGCTTTATATACTTTAAAGGTACTCCACTGAGGTTTAAAGCCTAAAAACATAACATTTGAATTTCTTACATAAATGAGGTGGGGCACTTTAAACAGAAATATATGCAAAGATAGTTAAGAAATATACTTTGAAATAAATTGAAAATCGTATTTTTATGCCCGAATTAGCCCGATGTGATTGAAAAGCGTTTAAATGCTTTTCAATTTGGGTCTTTTTTTTACAATTTGAATAATTTTTCTGGAAAAGCGAAGTGCGCGATTGATCTAAAATTTTGCACAAAGATTAGTGGTCTAAACCTACATAAAATGGTACATTTATCTGGAAAAATTTTTTTCAGTCCCATCATGTCAAAAAACCTCAGTGGAGTCCCTTTAACCCTCAACCTGCTGGAACTAAAAATGATTAGGATTTGCCAGAGAATTAGGCCAACCAGCCTGCATTTGTGGTCAGATCAGGCTCAGTACTGTGTGTAGCTCTATTTGTGTATTTTGTTAATGAAATCCATTACATTTTGAATGGTTTATTGCAAATGCTGGTCAAATCTATGACATAAATACTGCAGGTTAAGGATTAAGATTTTATTTTTTGGTGGTGCAGGTGTAAAAAAAAACAGTATGATTTTATTTTCCCTTCCTCTCTTTATTTTTTTAATCTGGTGTTATAATAAAGATTATACTACAATATTGGCAACCACTCTAGAGCAATGAAGAAAAGGATAGTAGGTGAAAGTATTAAGTCTTGGTTTGATTGAATCTGTTAATTAACAAGAGACCCTGAAAATGGTTTATCTTACTCTTTGGCAATATATCAGTCTAAAAAGTATTGGTACCAATGAACCTTAATTTAAACTTT